AATATGAATTTTCTCCGGATAACAAGATTATTAATTTATTAGATTCAAACGAAGTTTTAATTTGTTGATGTTTTTTTTCTTTGCTTTTCAATTTTAAGATTTAAACGCGTTTCTAGAGATAATTATTCATCATTATTTATTCGTTTATTTTACATATATATACTAAACTCGAATAATCTTGATTATCCTTTTAAGATAATTGATAAATTATATTTGAATATTTCTTATATTCAGAAATCATTAAATCATTGCTTCGAACAAAGAAAATCTGAATCTGAATCAAAAATTATTATTTAAAATTTATTTATTTTTTTATCTATTCCTGTAAAAAATTAAAAAATTAATTACAAATGTGTATATATATATATATGTAATTAATTTTTTAACTTAATATATATATATATACATAATATTATTTATAATATCATTCAATCGAATATTATTATTATGTAATAAAAAGAATTTATTAGCTCATTAAAATGAATGGTAACTGGTACATTAATTGCATAAGAGAATCCTTACATTTATTAAATATCACGTTATTTCTTTAAACGATTTCTTCATTTAAAGAAATATTCATAATATTCTTAGCTTTTAAAGTTATCTTGTAAACATTGTAAACAAGTTTTTTACAACCCAATGTTTTATTATTTATTAAATTCCTTATCCCACCAATAATTCAATCTCATTCTCGTTAAATTATAAGAAAACGGCGTATATGCAAATATTTATGAGAAAATACAATTATACGGTCTCTATTTCTGAAAACAAATGAAATATAATCAATATGAAATTAATAAATATTCGCGTATATGCATATTCACGATTAAAAATTAATCTAAACTATTGAAATTAATGAATAAAATTTCTTAATGGACAATAATACATCATATCATGCCTCTTTCGATTAACAGTTTTTAAATAACAACGTTTCGTTATTAATATCTAAATATATATATATATTTGTGTAAAGACTTTTCCATTATTGAAATTTTCTTCAATAAATTCGTTATTCTATCATTTTCTTCCATTCGTTATTCTATGAATAATGTTAATTTACTACGAATCTTATTGCATAATCTTTTTTGCACTCGCTGTTTGTATAATCATTCGTGGAGAAAATTTGCATAAACGACGTAAAAGAATTCTATACGTGAATAATTTTAATCGATAAAATGGTAATAATATGTTGATAAGCTCGATTATTAATATATTTCTTTTATTGAATAATATTAATTCACTAGTGTTTCTAATTCCTTTAAATTAATTATTTTTTTTTAATATAAAAATTTTATTTTTTAACTGCAAATTTAATAAAGTGCTTCAATTAATTATACTAATGCCCTTTTTTCCCTCTTAACACTACAGCACTCTTGAATCCAACTTATTAACTTCAAGTTTTTTTTATAAAGGCTTTTAGAAGTTAAAAAGTAACTTGAGATATTTTATTAAAACTTTCTAAAATTTTAAAAAATTCAAAATCAGTTACTAAACATCATTGAATAATTATTCGAAGAGCTTTTAACTTGTCACTCGTAAAAAATATTTAAAAATTAAACTTCCTTTGAACAAATTCAAAATTAACTCTAAAATTGTTCTACTCTATTCAATATAACTTGATAGCCAAATATTTGCAAGAAAAGAAAAAAAGAAAAAAAGAATTTACAAAAAAAATCCATACGTATTTCATAAACCGCATAAAAAAACTTGGTTAAACCGCAAACAGATGAAAAAAAAAAAAGGAAAATATTAGAAATCAAGTCCAATTTACAATTCCTTTCACCAAATCGAAAAAAAGAAGTGAATAACACCTATTCCATCGCCTTTTCACTTCCTCTATCCCTTTTCCCTTCCCTAATATTCAACCACGAACGGTCATCCCATATCCTCCAATGGAAATCCTTTAATATCGTGGGATTGAGGACGAGGCTTAAGCCCTATCTGCTTGGCTGCGCCGAATAAACGTGAATTCGTTGGTTCACACATGGCGCGATGGCGAACTTTATCTTAGCGATAAGCGGGACTTTTCATTAAAAAAGAGGCACCTTGTGTCTGTTAAATGTGGCAGAATTTAAACATACGTATAAAACTCATAAAGATCTCGTTTGATTTACGAAATTGTGCAGGCAAAAATGCATGCAAATGTATTTTTTAAAAAAGAATATATGAATTTTGATTTTAAATAATTATCTAATCATTGAGAAAAAGAGTGGAATATTTAAGGAAATATTCGATCACTTGCTCGAAAATCTTTCTGATTTTATTTTACTTAAATAACAATTGAAAAAGAAGAATGCTAATCCAACAGTATTTAATGATTTTTCAACCCCAAATTTCTAAAATTATTAACTAAAGTTTTTAAAGATTTTTCCTGTTATTTTAATCATTGCTTCTGCAATCAGCTATATGATAAACAATTTCCAGAATTATTTATAGCCTCGTGCGATACAAAAAAATTTCCAACCAATAAATTCGAAAACAATATATAATACAAAGACAAGAGATTATCTAAGTAAAGATATACTTCGCTACTACTGTTCCACAAGAGGCAGAATAAAATCTCTCGTTAATAATTTCAAATTTTCTTTACTTTGTGAATAATAAGACACGAGTTGTTCGAATATTAAAAAAAAAAAGAAAAGAAAAACGATTGCGACTGAAAAATGGTCGCGAAAAAAATATTTGTCCATCAGGGAGGAAGTCGCGGCGCGGCCAACATTCGGATCCGCTCGTTTCGAGTCGCGTCGCGTAATTAACCCAGATTTTTAATTAGTGTACGCAACTTCGTGACCCTGTGTGTGGATTTTTTCAAGCGGCTCGTTTCGAGCCTGAAACCCTGTGAAATCCGCTGCGGGTGTACACGCGTGTATTGTACGTGTGTGTGTATCCCGTGTGCGTTTAACACGCCTTGTCAAAGAACGCATAATTACACGTGGAAATTGAGCCACTTCGACGTGGTAAAAATTCGCATTCCCCTTTGATATCGTGGAAAGAGAGGGGAAAAAAATAGCGGTATTTGAAATCTTCGGGTAAACAGCCATTTTTGTGGCTCTCGTGTTTTGGGGGATGAAGTTGGTTCTCGAGCAAGGGGAATAATTGGCGATAAAATTGCGGAAAATGTCGGTCGTGACAATTATGGAATACACGTTAATTTTCAGTCAGTAGTAGATTGATAATTGTATTTTGTGTATAGGATGAATGAAGTTAATTTTATCGATTTGGATATCTATTTTATTTTTACTTAGATTTAAAAAGTTTAGATGGAAAAATTTAATAATTTTGGTAATGATAAAATTATCATTTTGTATCCTTTAAATGGAATTTTTGATGATGCATTCGAATACAGCATCTCTTTTTCTTTATTTCTTATTTTGAATTTTAAATCTCGATGAAATATAATTTGTAATGAAGAGATGAAATGTGGAAGATTGTGAAAAGAAAACGAATTGTTTTTACGATTCATTTTTTTGATTCGAAATAATCCAAAGAGATCGTTCGATTGCTTTTCTTTGGAAATCCATGTGTGATTTAAATGTGGAAAGTTTTATAAAGTTGGAGAAAATTTGAATCGATACTAGTGGAATGCATGTTAAACTTTATCTTATTCTATTCATTGCTGCACGATTCGTTTATCTAGACTATATTTATTGGAGCAAAATTTTACTTACTTGTTTGGATTTATTTGAAGAATTGGAGAATGACATTTTATTCTGCATTTACGATTAATAACAACTAATATTATAAATTTACTACGATGCAATGTAATGAATGAAATAAACTTCCATTCAATTTTTGTATAATTTTTATATTTACATTTCTTCTTTCTTTTTCATGTTTTTTTTTTTTTTTTTTTTTTTTTTTGAGAATTTAAAACTTATCGAAAGAAGCGAAAATATTGTATAAAAATGTAAAAAAAAGAGGAAATAGCGACAGAAGCGATTTTCAATCAATTTAATTTCAGTGTTCGTGAAACAGGTTCGGGTCGAAAGATCGTTCTTTCAAAGTCATCGATCAACAGGCTTCGAGTTTTAATAGGAAAAGTTACGAGTCCCCGAGCTCTCTGTGATAATACAAACTTTGATCGAACGTCCATTATGCACATGCTATTTGGGAATAGACGCGATTAATGTTAAAGAATTGTTAAAGTTATTCTATACGCTGTCGATAAATAATTCTTTTACTCTTTCTTACCTACCGAACATTGACGAGGCGGGAAATTTAAGAATGAAAAATTTTACACGCAATATTTTTTATAATAACTAATACTTTAAAATACATTTCTACTTTAAAATATAAACAATTGAGTAAAATAAAAATTAAAATTTCCCAAGAAAATAATATCGCGTCTTTTATGATTAAAATTTTTCTTACAAATAGCATTAATTCTAAAACGAGTATTATTTTATCGTATTTTAAACGTAATTAAACGCGTCTTGATTAACCTCCGTTTAATTAAGTCCAAATAAAGACAGAGCAACGATAATGATAATTGTCATGAGAGCAGAGATCAATATTCCCTGTGAAATTCTAGAATTACGAAAAACGTATCATCATGAAATGTATTATCTACACTATTCCTAATGACTTTTGTATCGATCTATTACTATAAATTTAACGAAAAATAAAGATTGTAAATTTACATCTTTACTGAAAAATAATATTTGCTCAAATACTTATCAACTAAAATTATACTAAAATTAAACTATCATATAATTATTTACTCAAATATTTAATTACTTTTTTCTATCAAACATTCTCTCGTCTTCTCTTTGAAATTATAATCGAATCTATATATTTTGCATAACATAATAACACAAATCTTCGCGAGAAAGTATAATAACGAGACTGGATAAATCACATATTACGTCAACCACATTACGAAATAAACCTTCCATTATAAATCCCGCCGTAATAAATATAACCGTAAATTTTCCATTTAAAATACTTCCATTCTTCTTCCATTCGAGAAACCGCGACATGGATAAAAATCAAAAGCGAATAAACTAATGTCAAATAAATAGAAAATAAATCGAAAAAAAAAAGAGGATAAGATACGAGAGACAAAGCGGAGGGAATAATCCTATTTTTTTCTTTCTCTTTCGTTCGAGGAAATCTTCCACCAAGGTTTGATCTTTCTTCAGCGAAAGTGCAATAACGGTAACGGTGTGTGATCGATAGAACGCGACTATGCACCACTATTTTTGCGTTACCCCGTGTAATAGTGTGCATTACTATGCGGTTATGCGGTCATCCGAGCGTACTGCAGCCACGGTGCATGGACATTCGTGTATCGATCTCGTTTCGGTGAAAATAGAACGAAACGCAGTTTGACACACGCGGCTCTGTTCTATGTTTTTTTATTTTCTTCGATGCGTGATCAATACTATCTCGGCTTAATAAAATTCTCTAGATATTTCATAACTAAAACTTGGACCTCTTTTTTATCATTTCCTATTTTATTTTTTCGAATTTTAAGAAGATTTAAAAAGATTTCCTCATTCAACATTTCCTCCGAATTTTCCTGAAATTTGTTTCAATTTAATAAAAATACTTCAATTGTAAAACATTTTTCTTTATTTTTTATAAATCAAAATTATATTAATACGTGAATATCGTTAAAAACACGCGTTGTAGATGGATAATTTTTCCAAAAAAAAAAAAATTCTTTTCCAATGTAAATCTTTCGAATGCAAATTTTGACTGTACATCCCTTGGCCCTTAGGATTCATCCAATGTCGCGTCATATCACGGTATAATTTTAACATCGAATGTGGAACGGTTCCACGTATTTCCGCGGATTATACGAAATCGATATCGAATATTTCCGGTATCGATCCCAATGGGAGAGTATAACACGTCAACAGTGATTTGTATTGTAATTTCGTGACGTGTTATCTAGACAAGAGGAAACGATGGTGACTGCGTCCTTGGCCCTTTATGGAAATTCACACCCTCTGATTCACACGGGAAATACGATTTACGATTGGGTCACACCTCGCGCATGAAATGTGTGCAAGTACCATGAGATCTGAATCTTATCTACTTATTTCATTTTACATAAAGTTACTTCCTTTTTTTTGAAAAAATACTTGCCTTCTAAAAATTAACGAAAAATGAATAATGAATCTTGCAAGAGGAATTACTTGGAATAATTAATTTCAAAGGAATAATTATCGAATGTTATTCTGTCGAAAACAACCGCTTTATTAAAAGCTAATTAAAAAGCTAATTGTTATTTATCTACATATCTGTATTCATCTTACACTATAAAATTTTCTTCAAGTAATATATAATTCAGAAAATAGTGAAAAAAATAAATTCGATTTCTTTTCGTTCTCGATCATCGAGTTATCATCGAGTTTTTAAGAAGATATGAGTTATCTTCCACCCGAATGGATCTCCAACGCACCTGGCGTCGAAAGTTGAGAAAAACTGTGATGACCCATATCGCGACACCGTTCAAACCTCCTCGGCCGGAGGAATAAATTTCCTTTGCCACGGGGGTTGGGCCGCTTATCACCCCGACCAGAGAATTCGGGTCGTTCCACTTTCGTGAAACGTCGAAATAAAGAGCGGGCCAGTCCCTATCTTTATGTTTCGTATTGAATTTTAAAACGATAAGAGGAATTATCTGATGGCGTTATTTGAGTGTCGTCTCTGTTGTGTTCGTCGATTGAACGAGCGTTGAAGACTCTTCTGTTCAAAGAGGAAGAGAGACGTTGGAAGGAAGGGATTTGATCGTAGGGATAAGGGAGTTTAAAAGATCCAACAATGATGTTGTTGGAGCAGCTGTTGAGATTATATCGAGGATTCGAGCACCGTTTAATTGGGTGTGGAGGATGTTTTGAGAAACTGATGGAAGCGGAGTGAATAGATAGATTTAAGAGGGGTGAAAAAAGATTTGGAAGAATATTAGAATTAAAATTAATCGAATCGATTAATTATTCTTAATTAACTTGCATTTTTCTGCAAAGCTTCTGATGACTATAAAAAAATCAAATCAAAATATTACTAATAATTATCATTTAATAAAATTTTCATGAATACGTCGCTAAATCAATCATTAAAAAATTCCTTTCTCCCCTTCAATCTCCCGTAACCGTAAACCCAATTTCATGGCAACAAATTCCAAGCTCCGAATCCCGGGGCATCATCCATACCTCGAACTACGATCATCTCTGCCAAACGCATCCGCGCGAACCATTTCACCCTCCCCCAATTTCCACCAAACTTATGCCAAACTTTCGCGAGAGAACTTGTTCTAACGAAACTGGGTAGCGGGCGCTTCTTGGTGAACGCCAAGAGGTTAAATGGGATCTCTGAAATTGCTCCTTGCCACCGTCTACACGCGTCGATATGAAGCCCGAATTTTTCGGACGCCGAGTGCGAAAACGTGTAAAACCTCGTTCACGTTTGTATCGAGGGTTGTATTGAGAATTCGAGAGAGAGGGAGGAAGGGAGGGAAGGAAAAGGGTTAAACGTCGATTTCTGAACTTTCGAAGTCTTTAACCTATCTGAAAGGTGTGGGTGTCGAAGTTCAACTGTTAATGGTTTCATCGATGCGGCAATATGGTTATTATGATATAATCCAATGGATTTAAGATTATGTGTGTGTGTATATAAAGTGTTTTGTTATTGGAAATATTAGGAAAAATTATTCAGGAAAAAGAAGGGAAAAAAGGCGGATTCTAGATACTTTTATTTCAAATAACGAATAATATGTGTAATTAATTATAGAATGTAAAATCATTGGATAAGTGAATTGTTTTATTGTAAAATAATTTATAAATATATAAACTGCTATATATAAGATATATAAGATATGAAAAATTTTGTTTACATGGATTTGATATTTGCGCTTTCTCCCGACTAATGAAGTATTTTATTCTACTATTCTACTATTGCATCGATTTATTGCGTGTTTGTCCTGGACTTTCGAATTTTTCAGAACGTGACTAAGCTAACCCGACGAATAGAAAACATTGATTTACGTCAATAAAATAATAGAATTAATCGTGTATTGTACTGCAACGATTAAAAACTTGTTAACAAGCTATTATTAACAAATTGCAAGAAACTAATTCACAAACTTATATATTATTACGATTTCAATTTTATAAAAATCCTTCTAAAAAATAAATAGAGAAAAAATTTTTCCAATTTATACAAACAATTTTAAATTTCCACCGACTGTAGAATTAATTTTTAATCACTCGCTGCCACTTTCACGAGATCCACAAATGTTTTGAATGTTCAGCTTGTGCAATCTTGCGCGTCTTAAAATCCGCGTCATCGGTAATTAACACGAGGGTGAAAATTTTAACGAGATATTCCAGCAAATAACGGTTGAAAGTCTCCCAGAACACGGCTCGGAGCGATCTTAACGGAACCGGAAGACGACAGCCACCACGATTCATAATGCTGGTATACGCGTTTCCAACGAACTACGAGGGAACCTTAACGGTGTTAAGGGCTTATTCACACGCGCCACTGACAATTATCGTTTCAAAGCTAAGAATAGAGGGACATACGTTGTACCAACTTCTGAAACGATTACTGGAGGATGAACTAGGAAAGGAAGGGGAGAAGAAAACGGAGGGGATGAAATGAAATTTGTTTTTGTTCGAACGTGATGGCGTTATCAATATAGATGTGTCCCAATAACGATTCGAATATGTATAAAAAGGAGAGGAAATGTGTGCAGAGGAATATCGAATGTCGATGAAAAATTAGCAGAATGAATATTTGTCAAATTATATTTATAGAACTATAAATGTAAATAAGGAAAAGAATTATTCGGAATAAATTATTATTATATGCGAAATATATGCACTTGTGAATTTTGAATATTTTATAATTTTTTAAAAGAAGTTTTTTTAAAATTTTCTGTCATGGATTCGAAAAGAAATTAATTTATAGACCAAAGAAGATGTGCTATATATTTAAATCTCTCTTGCAATTGCGATGTATTTACGTCTTTTACGAATTAATTATGACTTTAATAATCACTTGATATCTTGTGTATATATATATATTTGTTAAATATAAAAAACGATATGGAAAATATATATTTGCAAATCCGTAGTCTGGTTATCAAATAAACCATTGGATCATCGTATTTGAAGTTGTATTTACGACAGAGTTTGCGATACGAAGTTCTGCTCGTTGATAAGTTTTGTTGGAAGAAGAATTATCGTTAACGAGTTTCTAAAACAATTTTAGTAATTATTCACATCGATATGCATATATATATATATATAGAATGTCTCTTCTAATTTTCGTGATTAAAACAGGACCAGATATATTTCAAAATAGATTTTTGGAATATAGATAATTATAAACAAATATTTTTATTCGCATTTGATTTCTTTTAATCCTGATTTGTCATTTATTTTCTTAAAGATAATAGATGGAATATATAAAAAAAAAAAACTATCTCACAGTTTTTCAATAAATTTTCCTCGTCGACGAGATTTTAGAAATTTTTCCCTCGTGAAATTTTTTTTTTTTACCTTCGTGTATTTTATGGTTCAGTTACGTGACACTCTATATATCTATGTTTATTCGGGTCATTCTAATTAAGGATTAACTTTATATAGAGCATATGAAAAGGCACGGAGGAACAAAGGAGGAAAGATAACGTATTTTGAATACCTTAATAACTTTGTTATAAATTAAATTTGATCGGATGATAGATAGAAAGTTTTTAATCCTTTAATCCTCGTATCGAATTTTATAATTCCTATATATCTTCGTGAAAAAAATAAATTGATCAATAGTAATACGCCCACCATGTATATATTTTGAAATAAAAAAAAAAAGAATGAAAACGAAACAATCTACTAATTAACAATTCGAAAAAATCTTTTACTAAAATTTAATTTATCCGATTCTATTTAAATTGATAAAATAATAATAAATAAATGAATAAAAAGAAATAAGAAATTTAAAAACCCAAACTATTAAACTGCATCAACTATTTATCAAATTTGATTCCATCTCAATTATTCACAATTCGTCATACGAAAAAGCATGCGCACACGCATACACACACATATATATACACATACACGCACACACACGCCGATTGTTTAATTTCAAGAAATCAGAACTCTTCTATTCTTGTTAACTTGTTTCACGCTGAGTCATACGCCCCCTACGTATGATTCACAGTATTTTCACACACGCAATAACTGGTTTGATTGAAACGCAACCACACGCTACGAAGATCTACGTAAGACTGACTTTGAAAGTTCGAAAATCAATAGACGGCTTAGAACGGCTTTTGTTTCGCCCGAGGTCGATGCGTTCCATCGATATTTTGATTATAGCGATTGTTTTCGAATGGAACGTGATTTTCTTAT